AAACGAAGATATGCAAAAGGCATTGCCAAGCGCATCCGATCGGTTACGGCAGCATCTGAACACCGCTCGGATATGCCCGCAGTAAACGTGTTAATATGCTATGGAGCCGGAACACAACAAATTTAATTTCAAAGCATACCTTGCCAAAACATGATCTGTCAAGGGTTGTGGGCCTAATCATTTTTGTACAACTTAGTGATGTTAAAATATTTATCAAGTGACCAACTTATCACATTATGTTTAATATTATGAAATGTATCATGTCAAGAGATGCTTAGATTAAACCTCTTGGCAAAGCTAGATTTTAAGTAGAATGGCAGTTATATTGAAGGAAGTTGAACTGCGTTCTCCAGTGAACAACCGTTTCAAAAGGACTTTTCAGATAAAACGTGATGTTGAATATGTATTAGAAGTACAGAACAGGTTGGGAGGCATCCAGACATTGGAATCATGATGTCACATTGGCGAGGGAGTACGAGATGAGAAGGCCTTGATCTTGACTTAGTTATGTGGTGCACTGTATTAGGCCATGTTGCAACACCATTTTGTTGCCAGTTATCAGCACACTGATTTCATTAGAACCTAGTACGTTTTCAGTAACGGTTAATGTCTTAAAATCATCCAAAATGATATCCTCATGATATTTCAACCTCGATTATGTATGGCAGTTCTAGGGACCGAGAGGAAAACTCATAGAAAAAAGTATTTCAATTTAGTATGTTAAAAATCAGCTTGTTTCACCGTACACAAATTTTAATTGCATTGATATAATATAATATGACATATAATAGTCAAACACGAATGTTGTCACCAGAACTCCTACAAAATAACTGTTTATTTACATTACACGTTTGAAATATTAATCAGTAGAGTCCTGCGGTATCGAATTAACTGGGACCGATCCCTATCCGGACTAGCAGGAATTTGGAATAGGTGTGTTTATTTAATATTATCATTATCAACGTATTGTTGGCAGAGAATCCTTGCGATCGTGGTTGATGTTTGAGTAGCAATGATCACAAAGAACTTAGTGTTATGGCCGCAACCACGAGGGTCGAATCGATTAGGTCAATGAGGATATATAGGCCTAGGGGTTTGATTCTTGACTATTTTTTGCCTATCATAGTTTGAGTTAACTAATTTAACTACAAACCTTGGGGAAAATACCAAGCAGACAAGAAACCAGCCAACTCGACTCGCAAAACTAAAACGTTATTGGCCCAAAGCGAGTCAGTCTCAAGAAACTAACAAACCATAAGTGGAAGCTAGTACCTTATTTGAATTTCAAAATTGCAATTTCAGGAATTTTTGTTGGGGTAAACAAGTAATGCAGGGGTTGAAATAGTAAACGTCAGTAGTTACGAGACATTGATAGGTATTCATGGATATTCCTTAAATTCCTTTGCAGCTACCAAAGTCAGTTTAGTCTAAAGATTTATACTTTTAGTTAGAATTCAACCAGTTACTTACTTAACCTTTTCCGAGCGTTGGCCGTATACATACCACATCAACGACGCTAATAAATTCCAAATTGTGAGCGCTGGACGCATGCATCTCAATCTGAAGGTCACAAGCGTATGACGCTAGATACGTCAAAACATGTGAATGTTATTTCTGTATTTAAAAAATGTTGTTTCTGGGCCATCAACAGTTAGGTACCTTAAAGGGTCATCAATCAATCGGCCTATTATTGTTGCAACAAATTTTAACTTTTTGTGGTAAATTTCTGATTAATGGATTGGCATCACTGATCTAGTAACATCTGTTGTTTACAAAATCAGCTAGCTGAGTCGTCCTCATGTTATTGTTTTCCGCAGACAGTTCTCTTTACATTGTTCTTGAGTGAATTAAATCTAGTAAGATAAGATTAGCGGAATATTCAGGTGGTGGAGGTATCGGTAGACTATAAGTTAAGTATTTATTATATAAAAACAACTTTTTTGATCTAATACGGCCTCCACCATCCCCATAGCTGCCCTTACACCTCCTTTTTTAGTGAATTTCCCATATATGGAATAAGCTATAAACCGTAGGTCTGCTGGCAAGACCTAGACTCAGGACTAGTTTACTTTTTTTAGCGAATTTCTCCTATAGGGAATAAGCTATTACCGTAGTACTCATGGTAAGACCTGGACCCGGGACCGATTTACTTTTTCGTATTGAGGTCCCTAGAGACCAAAAATACCACCCGTTCAAATTCACATATATATATATATATATCTCTATATGTGTCCGTTAGCGCGATAACTCGAGCAAAAATCATCCGATTTTGATGAAATTTGGTACAAACGTGTAAACCTACGTTAATTCGAACGAGTTCGGGAACCAGCATGATCGGACTATGGGAACAGGGGTTTATGGGGTAAAAGTTGGTTTTTCCCATTTTTAACCCTTAAAACTTAAAATTTAGCAATTTCTTTCCAAACCATTTTGTAGAGCTTAAAAAACAAATAATTTAGTATATTGAAGCGTTATTATGCGCCTAATGGTTACAAAGAAAATTCAAAAAATCTGTAAATTTAAAATTCCTATGTTATTCTTATGGAGAATAAGTTAACTGTTATAGTTTGCTTGTTTATGAACATATTTTGATCAAATTTGGAAAATGCATTCATTTTATACTAGACTAAAAAATGTAATTACAAAAAAAATACCTTTTTACCCTCCCTGTTGCAGCAAACCTAAGTAGGCCTACTCGTTAAAATAATGTTATTTAGATAGGGAATAAATGTGATATTTTTAAGGAGACATTTTAGTGTAAATCCAGTCAGGCAAATGGAAATTCGCTTAGTCTGCAGGTTTGCTGCGGCGGGGGTATTTTGTTTTTGCAAATTTGTTTGTTTCATAATAGGCTAGATCAAGATTTCAATTAAAAAAAAAAAAAACACTCATTATTACATTCTCTGTAGCAGCCTAAGTACTTATCCCCAAAGCAGAACTTTTGAAAAAAAAAAAAATTCTGCAGGTTTACACGGTCTAAGTTGCGTGTAAATAAATGAACCGTGTGTGTCATAGTTTTTATGAATATTTGGAAATGAATAAGTTTTTAAACGCTCACCTGTTTAAAAACACCTAATGTTATTACATTCAATCGCTAGTAATTTTTTTATTTTATCTATACATTCTTACAATCGATCGATGCACTGAATATTGACATTGCACCTTTCGTTAATGCAATGCATGACATTTTGTAGCATTTGTGTTTGCAGAACAAAATAGGCTATAGTTGTAGACTCTCTACAGAAATATTTTCTGCAAAAAAAAATTCTAACTTTTAAAGTAGGTGCCGGTAGCATTTTCTGCAGAAACTTGTACAGGTTTTAAATGTAAGAAAGGAGCATGTGACCCTAACTTTGCCTGTAAAAATTAGTAATTTTTCATAAACAAAAATTTTTATTTGGCAGGCGGAGCTTACTACAGCCCTAGCTGTCTTTCTGAGACAATGTCAAACTATCGCCCATAGTTCTGCTTTATACTTATTAAAATTAATCTTGTTTGGATACAGAACAATTTTAAAGGAATATTTTACTAGAAATAGTCAGGTAAATAGAAATTTACAAAGTCTACAGATTTGTGGCGGTGGGAGAATTTAATAATTACAATACCTACCAAATAAGAATTTAAATTCTTAGGTGTAAATAAAACAAAAGAAAACTGTAATGACAGATTTTTCAGAACCCAAGTAGCCTACTTAATCTTTTCAGCACCATGGCCTAGGCCTATATCTCATTTCAACATAACTAATCATCTTAAAGATTAAACGCAATCGATACAAGATTTGAGTAAATTCCCCTTGCTCAAAATTTTTTTTTTTAATCTTCCCTGACTTGCGGTTTTTTAAGTTTTCCCTTACCCTATAGGCTACCTGTTTCACTGACTTTCCAGGTCCGTGGGAACCCTGCTTGGATTTAGATTGTTAAATAAAATATTTAGCCAACTCGACTCGCAAAATTAAAACCTCATTACCTCAAAGTGTTTTGTTTGACTTGGAAAACTAACACGGTCAAACGCGAGTCCAACTTACAGAACTAAACACCCCATTGGCCAAAGCAAGTCGGTCGTCTTAACTTAAGTATTAAGTCTGACTCATTGAGTTAACCACGAGTCTACTCGGAGAAACCTACTGCAATCAGTCCGAGTCTAGTTGGACTAGACTTGAGGGTACGATTCGAGCCAGGAAAGTACCGGTACTTGATTCGTCACATCACTAAGTTAAACCTATTAAGCCTAAATAAAATTTAGAGTTTTCTAATTCGCAGAGGACACGCGTCCGGTAACAGGACGTGGATTAGGCATCCGGCAGTTACTGTCATAACCTAACCTAACCAACCAAACTTGCTGATAATGAAAAAAATCAAATGAAGGTTCAATTCTCTTCATAACATAAAATTATAAATGCCAAAAACTCTAACAAAAGATGTACAGTTAAGAAGAAATTACATTCAAAGCAAACTGTGACAAAAAGTTAAATATGGGTTTCGAACCAGGGACCTCTTGGATATCAGCCGAGCACTCTATCCACTACACCTCAAACAACGCTGGCCGAACATCGTACCGTTGTGGTAATGGCGTTCCGAGACCCCACAACCCGGTACCGTCACTACCGGACACCTAATCCATGTCTGGTTACCGGACGCGTATCCTCTGTGTTCCTAATTTCTTACAATGCGAGGATTATATAGAGGAAATAAGACTAAGCCTAGCCAACATTGCTGATACAAATCTTACTTTGATGCTGTGGTTTCACAATAACTAAGTCTAAACTTAACTCCAAAACAGGCTACCTAAATAACTTTTACGTTGATTCACCATAATTTAAGTTACAAAAAACACTGCAAGTACTTAACTCTGAATTAAACTAAGTTAAAGATCTAAGCTTTGTAAGTACTACAAATTTTTATCTGTGACACTCAAGCTCAAGGTAACTTTCCTATAGCCTAATAACAAATCAGCTTCACTCAATGTTAAAGCCTAAAACAGAGGACTTAGAGCCAACTTACCCAGCAATTTTGTTGCGAAGAGGTTTTGTGGGAATGATAGCAATCTCTTCACATATCCTCTTGTTGGTGTGGAAATCTAATGTCAATCGAGTGTAGTATTTCTCGATGATTTCACGGGCTGCCTTCTTGACAGTTTTTGTCCTGACGCGACCCTAAACAAATAGTCAATAGCCTAAGACACTTAATAACTGGTATGCCTAAGTAAACAAGTAGCTAACTTAAGTTACCTAGAAGTAAACTTGGTAAACACAGAATTCGATAATAACATATTTCCTAGGTTCCCTGCACAAGTGCACTCGAATCTTGTTCAGAGCCAGTGTTGCCAATCCACTATGGCCCGATTACCCCCTCCAAAGCAAAGAATTACCCGCTTTTTATACAAATTACCCTCAACAAACCAAAAATTCCCTTTTAACACTCTTGCCTGTCTCTAAAAGTAACGAATAAAAACTCTGATAAATAAATTAGTTTTGAGTAATCCCACAAATTAAGATGTAGTAAAGAACTAAATATAGGACTTGAGACTTGTAATTAACCTTCATAATGAAATTTTCAATCTTACTGACCTTACAAAAATAATTTCATTAGTCCTACAATGATTTGGTTTTTTTTATGATAGCCTATGTCACTTGTTTAATAATGAGTAAGTACTGTTAAAAATTTTATTTTTTATTAGTTTTAGGGAGAAAATAGTTATTATAACCGATCAACATTATTATTCCCCTATTTTCTGTTAATCATCTTCTTTAGAAGTAGACTAGTACGGTATTTTCCTTCCACCATGGTATCAGCGTTGACTGTAGTATAGTGAGAAGTGAAGTGAAGTGAGAGTGAGATCAGGATCACGGATCAGGCATAGGGTACTCCAAAAAGGCGGCCGTGCTCCAATCCAAAAGAAAATACTACAAACAACCGTACTGACTGAAACTGAACCGAACCGAACCGACTGAACGCTGTAGCCTACTCGCATTGACTTTATATCTACACTACTAGTACTAGTGACTGAGTGAGAACTGAACCAAACTGATGAAGATTAAGAGAAGTAGTGTAAAACAATAAAAAGTCTGTGAAATAACTTTAATGGAAAAAAACACAGGGAAATATTTTTCTTCTAGTGAAATATAAGTAATAATACGAAAAACAAATAATATTTGATCAGTTGTCATTTACCCGCTTTTTACCCGCCTATTTGCCATTACCCGCAGCATTACCCCCAGGTATCTAAATTACCCGCTTTTCGGGTAATTACCCGCTTTTTGGCAACACTGTTCAGAGCCCAACTATTGTGGATAACGTCTCAGACTAGGCCTAACTTATAATGCAAGAGAGGCTAGCCATCCATTAAGTAGCACCTTAAGTTTACTTACCCACAAAAATGTAGAGGGGTTCTACATGAAGTGTTTTAAGATTAATTCTTCAATTCCAAATGCTAATGGCGTTAACATTAGCAACACCAAAAGAATTAGGCTGTAGATCAATTCATACATTTTCTAAGGCCATGTCTGTGGAAGAGCTAACCTAACAAACCTCAAACTATTTGCCTTCATGTGGCATATTAAGTTAGTAGCAATCTACATGTTGCTCGGATTGATAATTATGATAGAATAGATATGAGAAAGAGGTAATTGAAAGGATTGTTTATTTGCAAACATTGTGCTGAACTAGAAGTACTCGGTGTCATGAAAAGGAGGTTAGGTATTCTATTTTGTGTATCAGATAGTAAAACTGATGCTCCATGGTAAAATATGCTTAGAGAAAAGTGTAACCATGTATATTATAGTTAAAATTTTGCTATATTTGAAGGGATTTCATTAAACATTACAGATAAAAATAAATTATTGAATGAGAAATCTTACCATTGCGCTGAGGTGAACCGGAAACTTGCGACCAAAGAACAAGAAGATTAAGAAAGCGAAGCGATAACACAAAAAAATCACAATATAAAAGGCAAAGATGGCTGGAATGAGGAAATAATTTGCTATAAACTCAAAGACTACCAATTTAATGTGATCAATATAGCCAGTGAATATAGCATGTAACAAGAAAGGAATACTTCCTTTAACTTTACTATACTATGACTATACTTACATATTTCATATAGAATTATGTAAATAAGTAATTCTATTGGGTTACAATAGGTATTTTGAAGCACTGAACATAGAGGCACCATGGCAATTCTTGATTTACTTAAAAAAGAGGCAAACAGATATTTTTATGTTTACATTATGCTACCTGCATATTCGTGGCTCTGGAATGCACACGCACCGGTATTGCATTAAGAGAAGATACTAGGATTGCTCTCATAGAAGATAGAAATAACCCTGCAAGGATCCATATGATTAGGAGATGTAACGTTTCAAATACTTGCCTGCTTTGAGAGAATTGCACAAATGTCACCATACCTCATGAAGTTTGTTGTCTTACATTTTGTACAGTTAACATAATTATGAAATGTGTTGTTTTTTAACAAGTGTTCTACATTCAACTATCTCAAGACATTTCCAGAATTAGTGGTTCGTGCGTTTCGGTGTTTATGGCACGCCTTCATTTTCTACAAATATCAGGGAGTTTTTGAGAATGCATTCTGAAACTTTCATTAATATGACACTCTTATGTGAATAAGATATTTTCTTGTAAAACGAAAACGCAAAAAATACTTTATCCTTATTGGGCAATAATATATCCCGAGACGTTGCCAACCCAACAATCAATACAACAAGTGTGTCGTTTTAATTCCCAATAACAAAAGATGAATGTTATTTGTTTTACCCTTATCAAATCTATAAACTGTACCTATTCGACCAGTGATCGTTTCCAAATTGCGACTTAAATGTGAACTTAAGACTTTCTTTTTATTTTTTTATCAGTGGTCATCATCCGAATTTTCCCCTTTGTACTGACTGTGTTTAGGTCGTGGTTTGATTTTAACATATGCTATGATTCTTTGTTTTATTTACATTATCATCTTTATTTTGTAACCATCATGGCAATCCATAAGGCCAATGTTAAAATTAAAAAAAACTTTAAGTTACTTTTAAATTGTGATATTGTAATAGGTTTCGTCTTAAACCTTCTAAACTTCTATAAAAACATTTGACAAAACATCCTTAGTAAGTTGTGCTAGAATATGTTCAGCCGTTATTGAGTTAATGTGTTAGAAAGTTTGCATTGAAGTCAATCCCAAAGAGCTCCGCTTAATTAATTATAACTCCACCTAAATTCGTATCCACTTTGGTCACGTACCTCGTCCCATTTTCTAAGGTATTTTATATTATTTACTCCACGTCATGTACTTATGAAACACAATTGAACCAAGATTCATATTTGACAATTAGATGAGCAGTATACTTTCACTATTAAAAAAATATTTTTATTTATAATTTGCCTCCAGGATTGATCAGTTTGTGAAGTAATTTTGACAACAGTAAGTGCAAGAAGATTCCCTATGTTTGACAATTGACGAGAAAAGGATTTGAAAATGGGGCTTTAACCCCGAAACTAGTCATCCACGACAAATAGCCTATAGGATCGATTGACAACAGGTTAGTAACCTTATTTTTGTCAAAGGTAATACTGTAGTAGTATGGATAAATGATAAGGAAGGACTAGTCACAACACAATAATGTCTTAATTTCATTAACTAATGACGTCATGTGGTTGCTCTCCTCTTGATGAGCGCAGTTTTGCCGTGTGTTGATTTAGCACTTATATTGTCATCATGTTGATGATCAAATGCTCTATAATGTAATTTGGGTACTGACTTGGCCTCTGCAGTTAACCAGCCAATCATCCTTCCTCCTACAGTTTAAGATTTGATTAATAGCCTATCTTCTTTTTAAACTAGGTAACTACAGAGTGGTCACATCTTTTTATTGTTTGAAGAAGAATATTTTCCTGTTGAACAAAAACATCGGTTTCTTGTACTAGAATTGAATTTGGAGTTTATAAATTAATTGGATGGTACGTTAGCTTAGGGAGTGTGTTGTTATCTAAGATTTTCCAAAGGGAACCGCTTCCTTCATATTCTGGTATTAGATAAAGGAAGCTCTTAAAAACTGTTACTTGAGTATAATCAATGTATTATCAAATATATTGATATTTATGTCCTGCAACAGGAATTTAAATATAAAACAGAAATTTTATTATAAAAAGTTATATTTGTGTTACTTTATTTTGAGGGTACACTAAAATAACTTTCTCGCGTTCCTAAATTCCTTTTTAATGACTAGGCATTTTGTAAACGAAAATGATAAATTCCTTGTCAAAACGTTAATTAACTTAGCTTCTCCCTATTTGTCTCAAAGTCTGCCAATAGCTTGGAGTGTATTTGAAACATTACAAATGCCTAAGCCTGATCCCCCAAGCTTAAATACCTCCACACACACACACACACTTGAGTGTTTTAAACGTGTACATATAGTTTTAGTGACACTTTATTACTCAATCACGCAAACAATGCTAGAAAATGGCTTAAAGTACCAATATTAACAAAAAGATAATTTACAGTGTTAAATTGTAAGTTTGTTGACAGAACCAGTAATAAATGACAATATCAACATTTCTTGATTAAAAAGCGTCAAAGCTCGATCTGGTTTCAGTCAACACAAACACAGACACAATCATTTATATTTTACGTTCAATACACAATCGTATGCATTTCACGTTCAAGAATAATACTGTTCGTTTAACACACAATACACAATAATTTGCATTTCAAACTACACCTTGATCTGAATTGAATACTTTGTAACTAATAAGTTGACACAATATACCATAATCTGTTATTTCCTTTCAATACACTAATACACAATCATCTGCACGCTCAGTTCAATACTCAACCGCCCTCATTTAACGTTCAATTGAAGCAGATATTTATCTAATCAATCCAGTGGTGGTTCTAGGACCTTGTCAAGGGGGTCTAACGGGGGTGTCCCACAGGAAGGGGATTTGGTGGTCCTCCCCGGAAAAATAAACTATTTTTAAAGCCATTTGGTGACTTTTTAAAACCAATTTTATGGTCTAGAACTGTGTCCAAAAACCTCTATTACGTTTTAAAGGTATGTATGTTTGAATTTATAGTTCCAGGGTCCAATTGGGGGGGGGGGGCTTTAGCACCGATAGCCCCCCCCTTGCCCTTGGAACCGTTAATGAATCAATCCATATCCGTACTATAGTTGGTCTATATATGTAGGGATTGTCTACATATCTGTACTACACTATCCCTTATCCCTTTAAATACGACCAAACACTTTTGTATACCACATACTGCATCTCTACCTTGATGGCCATAATTAACTCACTACTGCACTCTCTTAAAACCTATAGCGTTCTACTCGACAGTACTACTCGTATTTCTATAGCACCTTAGTAGGGGAGTAGTGTAGAAAGGCTGTCCATTCTACACTACTAAAACAGTGTATCTTTTACTGCTGGTAAAAAAAAAAAAAAAAAAAAAACAATTAGGAAAGTATTTTGTATCTAAGCAAACTAAACATTTAAGGTATTGACAACGTTTGAAAAAAGATTTGAGTAAGTTAACTAATGTATAGGCCTTCAATATGAGTGTAATAATCAGGGATATATTCATTCTTTCTACACAATACAGCCTTAAATTGCCCTATAACTTATTATTCTTAAACTTGTCTTGAGAGAAATAATCAATGTTGCCAATTAAAGGAAATATCATAGTTTTTGTGTTGAAATTTATCCAAGCTAACTTGATGTTATTTATTATAGCATAGTGATTTAAATTAACTTCAAATAGGGTTTTCCGGGTTACATTTGCAAAAAAGGGTACCTAAACTTTATACTTAACTTTTGAAATCTTCATAAATATTGTCTATTAAAACTTATCAATTAACAAATTTAGTACAAATCTCTTATTAATATCGTTAGAAGTTTAGAAAATGTTCCTGTTTTCCATCACGTCACTGACATCTTTGCAACATGTTTCCATAGTTAATCCCTTTGTATGATTGAATGTTTGGAGCACTCACCTGTCAAAGAAACCGTACAGCTTTTCTACCTCCTAATCCCGTCAGTCCAATTGTTGCTGTCTCTTTTGGACTGTACAATACAATCAATCATATGAAGTTGCCTTGTTATATACCAAAACCTTATATAATATTTTCGTATATTATATTTTTAACAAACAATGTTGGTTGCAGTCAGATTTACCATTACGATTTAAGTAGAATACCAAAGTGGCTGATATTGATCTATCAGTTGATTTTAATCTTCATCTATTTTTTCCAAAATTTAAGTTTTCCCACTTTATTCGGGTTTGGTAAACCATTTGGAAAGTTTAATGTCCCATTTTCAACTATTAGTACATATTATATATTATTACTACTAACATTACGTGTACAAACTGTGTTCGTATATTTTTACATACTCATTATTACTCTAAGCCCATTGGTTTTCGAGCTAATCCCAGTATGTCATTTCCGACAACCACATAAAGAGTCTTATCGTTGGTAATTTCATATTATCCTTACGGATAACTGATAGTTCGCTCCATTTCTACTCCTACATGCCACTGAAACCTTTTAAAAATGTATAAAAACAGATATTTGTGGTTTAGCATATCTTTAACCTCGCGAGTATTTGTGTAGGAGAAAATATAAGTACCCAATAGACTAAAAGGATGATACAGTAAACTTATAGTAAACATGGCGAAATACTAGCTGTAATGAATCTAAGAGAGTAGAACACTGGTAGATAATAATTAATAAACCATTTTGTAACTGTTATAGGTACTTGCCAAACTTAATCGTTATAATTTATAGACATTAATATTAATTCCATTTATTTCCTTAGCAATGAAGACTGCAGTACCCGTTATATATTTTTATAAATAAAACCTGAAGGAATAAATAAATGTATCACAGATATAAATCATAACAAGGTATACAGTGTAAATAAATAAA